CACTAGAATCGGGTTTCGCTAATACAATAGTTTTCACAAGGATTTTTGCCCTACACACTTTGATTTATAGAATTGCACCTAGTTTTACAAGATTTTGCCATTAAAGAATGATTCAAAGTTGTTTGTGAATGATTGCTTCTTCAATGTAGGCTTATACACACAATAAGAATAAGTGAACTCTCAAAGGTTTACAAGATAAGTACAAGTGAGAGTATTTGATTTGGATCTTGAGCTCTAGGGATTATATGAGAATGTTTTCTAATTTAGTATGATTCTTCTCTCTCATATTACCTAAAAACGTCGAGCTTTTATAACCCTAAAAATATTAGCCATTGCAGCATTTAATGCCATTTTGATAAAGTCTATAGAACCCAGAGAATGGTTGTTCCATGATCGCGAATGGTCATTCCTAACACAACGGTCATTTTTCTCAGATTTAGGTTAACTGGAATGGTCGTTCCACCACGCCGTATATGATTGTGCAAGGACACTACACAGTCATTTTACCATATGGAACGATCACATTCAGATGCTCTTCCAAATCCACTTAATTTTCTAGAAGCGTGAATGACTTCTTGGAATGATGTCTTACAAAGCTCTTTAGATACGAAGGATCATTCCACCATAAGGAATGGTCGTTCCAATTTTGAACTTTAAATTTTGACTTTGACCAGACGAAGTCAAGAAAGTCAAGAGTGTGAAGCATTCTAAATTTGAATTATCTTGACTTTTTTACTTGAGCGCACGGTCGTGCAGGTTGGTTGTGCGAGTGCCATTCAACTTGGTAGAATGATTAAAGACCATGGGGAACGATGTTGGACGAAATTGCACAGAAACTTTCTTTTATGGAAAGGTTGTGCCTTGCCTGTGCACGGTTGTACCACAGTAAAAATTTGGTTATGCATGGTCATACCACCTGATAAACATATTTTGGTTTGGTTGTGACTTGTGTTATACCTTAGCATGTTATGGTTAGTGTTCAATCAACTTTTTGGATAGTTTTGGCACATCGAAACACACAAGTGGTCAACACAAGATATCCATAAATGGAAAAGTTGGTGTTAGCCTTGGTCTTTGCATCCTGAATGTTCTAGGCAACTCCAAGCATCGCTACACCTAAGCAAGTAATGATGTCAACAGACCAGAGACCATCATGGATGGATCCCATTACTGCTTACTTTAAAGATGGGGTCTTACCTGAAAACAAGTCAGAAGCCAGCGCCTTTCGTGCTAAGTTAGTTCACTATACCCTGATCAACGATAAATTGTAGAAGCAAGAGTACAACATCTTGCTTTTACGATGTGTCATAGTGGAAGAAACAAACTACATCTTGAGAGAAATCCACAAGGAGAATTATGGAAAACATGTGGGAGGACATTCTTTAGCCTACAAGGTACTTCACCAAAGGTACTACTAGCCAACCATCTATAAAGACACAACCACTTTCGCTAGGAAATGTGACAAGTACCAGAGGTTCATAGATATCTTGCAAGCTCCTCCCTAAGAGTTGACCATTATAACTAGCCCGTGGCCATTTGCTGTTTGAGGCATTAACTTGATTGGCCCCTTACCTCAGGGGAAGGGCAGAGTAAAGTTTGCTATAGTCCCAGTTGATTATGTTAGGTTCTATATGGGGTTTTATGTAGCAGAAATTAAAAGATCCCCAAGCAACAACCATAAGCATTAGATCCTTATACACAATTTTTACGTTATAAGCATAAAAATCAATATAAACAAAAACCATTCCAAGTTTCATCCTAGCGTTTGAAGGATCTTCTTTGATGCAAATCGCTCCCACTCTGAGATGAGAGTGAACTCTCGATATCCACACGAGGATAGGACAATGATCACCTAGTGATTCAAAGTGCTAGCCGAAACCACAAGGTTCAAGGATTCTCCTTCACAACAATGGGTGACCACGGCTTGGGAGAGTGAGAGAGAGAGAGTGGACAACTAGAGTTTTTAGAATATTAGTGTTATTTGATTTTTATTTTAGTTGCACTTAAATAGTGTGAATCTAAAAACCCTAATCTGTTATGGAATTTGAATTAATATATTCCATAATAGATTAAACAAATATTTAATTACAATCACAAGGTAATTTTTACACCCCCTTCTAGCAGGGTACCCTTTAAGTATTCCATTATGATGGCAACTTAGAGAATTTAGGCCTGGAAGGTCGTGTAATTTAAAATGTAAATCCTAGTTACAAACATGTACTATATGAAAATAAATAAATAAAAACTTCTCCTCTCATTTACATTACTTTCATAATCAACCTGTCGAAATATGACTACATATGAAAAATATGGTTTAAAGAAAACAACTACATCAATTGTTTAACATCAGAAGCAAATATAAAATATCTCCCATCATGTATAAATAAGACATATTCATTGTTTAGTAAAACTTAGATTGTATATATATCGAACCATATACATTAATCTAATAACAACATCCATTATATAACATCGTAATTTTTTATAAACAGAAGTTAACATGCATGCCCTCATGCTTCCTTGACTGTTGCTCGCCATTATTGCTTTAACTATTACCTACAAAACATGGAAATTAGGGAAATGAGAGCTAATCACTCGGTAAGGATATCGATCATTTAGCCCTATGTAACACTCATAAACTTGGAAAGCATCTTATTTACTTGTACATGAACCAAACATTAATAACATAAAATAACATATATGTAATATAACATAGCATATTCACTTCATATCATAATGCATAATATAATTCATGTAATCCTATCCTTTAATGTTCATGAATGATGCACTTCAATGCCATGCAGGTATAAATAAATTTTTCTTTGAAAACTTTATACTATTTGCTTATAGGACTAAGCTGAGGCATCGATTACAAAACCTTTAGCCAATGAGCTAACCTTAACTTATAACATAGTCCCCATGGTCATGCACGCTATGGATTGCTCTTTTTTTTTTTTTTGGTCTAGACATGTGCATGAGTGAGCTCAAGTTCCACATAACAGGACAACAAATTCCATAAAACTTAAAAATCATTTTTTTCACAAAAATACATGTTTGTGTACCTTGAAAGCATTTTGCTCAAACTTATGATCAACTCCCCCTTTTTTCATCATTAATATGCTTGACATGCTCTATTCTTTAAAAACATACACTTTCCATATATGAACATATCATTTCATCATGACCATTTCATGGATGCATAACAAATTCATAGGAACTTAGTATACTTAGGCTTGTTTATACATAAATAACCTCATAATTAGGTAATACATAATATATTACACATAACCTCCATGGTCATTCATTACATCAAATATATATGTTCATACAATCATTAAATAATCACAAAGATCACTCACTCAAACATGCTTCAAAACCCTTTAAGCATTATTTCCATACTTGGAATCAATCATAGTTTATTAGGCTAAAAAATAAATTAAGAAATTGGAAGCACTTTTGAGGTACTCATGTTGCGTAGATCATATTCAAGAAGACATATCTCGAGTTATACACATCAGATTGATATGATCCTGGTCTCATTTTAAAGCTTAAAAAAGGCCTCAACAAAGTTAAATAAAAATTATGTCCAAAAATCGCTCAGAAGGCCATGGATTTGAGTGGCAACCATGGTAACATGTTTTTTTTCTAAAGGCTTTTCCATACCTATTTACTTCCACTTCCTAACATTTCTTAACCATTCTCCTCTGTGAAAACATGTCAAATGATCAATAATAACATCCCTTGTAACATGTTAAATTCTCATGACACAACCATTTCTATTAATTGCCATCAAACTTCAATTTTCTACGATTCACATATAAATCCATAAGTTGCAAATTATAGCATCAAACCAAGCTCAATTTTTTTTTGTGTGACAAGAATTAAGGTTCCCTAATACTAAACCTAGAAACCTAACTCTTATTTCATATTAAAGGGAGAATTCCCTTACCTTGTGTGAAGAAAACACACTCTTTTGCCAAATTCCTCCTTCTCATCCCCAATTGACTCTTTATCCTAACATAATTAATAAGAAATTTAATAACTTGAAATATATAATAGTCAAGATAAGAAGTTGAAATTTATCTTCAAATATTCTTAATAAGGGAAGAAATACAAAACACTTAAAAATTTTCAACTAAAATGCTTGAAGTTTCAATGGAGAAAGTAAAATCTATGGAGAAGTATTGAAGAAGATGATGAAATAATGGAGATGTGTTGAAGAAGATGATGGAAAGTGGTATAAAAATGGGTTGGCCGACTTATACAAGCTAAAATCAAGATTTTTTTTTATCAAAAGTCATTCATTTGTCTATTGCATTTAGTGACTTATAACATCATTTCCCTTTTTGCCCTTAACAACTTTCTTTTAATTACTCCTCAGTCCTACATCATCCTTATCTTTTCAAGCCAACAAAATATCATCATTCTTTTACCACTTTACCCTTAAGGCATGTGCATGGTAGTTAACTTAGCACATAAAAGTGAAAAGACGATTTTACCCTTGGTTGTACCGACGGGGTTTACATAATTCCACATGGAATATTTCAAATTCAAATTTAAATATAAATTTCATATATATATATATATATATATATTTAAACTATATATTTAAATACATAACCAAGGAATTTTAATTTCCTAATGAAATCTGTATATCTATATTAATCCTTAAGCCTAGACTATTTGAATGCCAAGTAGGACTCTAAAATTGCTACAAGCGTCTACATGTCATTGGCTTAGGCTATTTTGGATTATTAATATTAATGAGAGATATTTATATAATAATAAGATTTAATGTTTGTTGTATGTTTTTAATTATGTTATATAGATGCATTACACTCACATTCTAAAAGGTCTAAATAAAGTTAGTCTATTCATATTCAATATAATGCAACTACAAGACTAAGCTATATATCATTGCTTTTCAATTTAATCCATCGTCTCTTTAATTTCATGTTCTTAAATTTTCTATTTCTTCGTCTGCTTGGTTGCATAATGAAGATAATTTAGCAACTAATTCGAGCATCGGATTTGGTCTTTCAGTTTCTAGAAATTGAATCATCAATTATTTAATTTTATCAGTGACAAACAGCGCATTTGGTAATTGCTCTGGATTCTTTTTGTTATTCCCTTTCGAATTTTGATATTAGGGTTTTGTTAGTTTTTAGCTTGATCTGATTTGACATCTTATCTCGGTTTTATCGTTGATTGAAACTTTGTTACTTTTTCTTAAGATAGTTTCATCGTTGTTCTGCAGTTAATTGGCAAAGATGACTAAAAGTTCCTTCCAGATAAAGCATGATTTTCGTAAGTCGTTGATGATTATTTTCTGTTACAAGAATCTTCTAATGGATTGGTTAATTATTGTTTATCGCTTGTGTAACTAATACAGATTGTGTCTGCACAAGAAAGGTGTGCTAAGGCTGAAAGAATTATAGAGAAATATCCAGATAGAATTCCTATGAGAACTGAGCTTTAGCTTTTATTTTTTTATTTTTTGTCTCAATTATATTGTAGTGAAATCCTATGTTGATATTTTAATTGTCATTGTACTAAATTGCAGTATTAAGTTCAGATCTTCAGAAAAGAGTCATAGGATTGGTAGAACATCAATTATTTTATGAAAATAGCTCTTTATGTTTGGTTAAGAAGTTTTTGAGTGAACATGTATCCATGGTGTTGGTTGGTTCATTAGGGATTCTATGTGTTATTTGTATTTTATTCATCTATACTGATGGCATGGTAGATAAAGCCTTTTCTATCTTTTGGTAAGAGATTGATTTTGGGTTAATTATTGGTGTTAGAGAACTTGGTTTTAATAGTGTTACTTTTTCTGGTCTACAGGGTGAAGTAGCGGTAATAATGTTGCATGCATTGTTTTGAAATGTGTTATAGTACATTCTTCTTTGCATTTTTTGAGATCAATTGAGAGTTTTCCAAGATCACTGTTCATTTTTTTGTTGGGGGGGTGTGGTTGGTGATACAAATAGGGGTCTCCAGATTGTATTTGAGAAGTTACAGTTACAAATAGTACTGTTTTATGTTCTGTGAATTTTATTTGGTTACTTTTGTGCTTTGGCTCATCTATTTAGTTTATGTAAACAGCTATGTTTTTGACAGGAAGCCACCAGATTTGAAAAAGCAAGAGCTGGCAAAGCGGTACAAGCTTTGTCATTTTTTGGCTACAATATGAATAGAATTTTTCAAGGATATGTATCATCATTAATGGTACTTATCATACTGTGATAGTGATACAATTACTCAAAGAGGACAAATGCTATTGAGGATTTGACTGAAGCCGTAGAGGTATATGAATATTCTTTTCTGATTTTCTTGTGATTGTTTTGTTAGTTATTTTCCTATTTTTCATTTTATTATTTAGAAAAAAATAGGAAATGTATCACGCTATGATTTCTAGAAACAACTTGTATGCATTGTTTCGATACAAAGATGAGGTTTCCAACAAGTAGCGCTCATATATGAAGCCACGAGGGAATGGCTATAAAAGTTTGTGCATTTATAATGAGAAACACATATGTTGTCATAAGAAAGTTTGTTTAACACTTCAATATCTTATCCATGTTATATGAAAATGAATATATATTCCCTTATGAGTGTTTGTAGGAGTTTTGACATGGGTGGTCATGAGTGTTGTGTACGCCAAATTTTTTTGATAGAATTGCCCTATAACTCATAAATTATACAACTTCTACTATTCCCTCATTGCAGGTTGGCAATAAACAAGATATTGAAAAATTCAGTAAACGGATTGTGAAGGTCGGTCCTTTGCTCATATGTCTTGCTTTTGGTAATTTATAATTATCATTTTATAGTCTATTCTCTATTATATAAGGAATGGTCTAGGTCTGAATAGAAAGGAATGCGGTCACTGGTGCTAGATTTTGAGGCCATATGCTCTCTATTATTGCAGGTGACAAAGCAGCGCAATGAAGACTGCAAAAGACTTCTAAGACTAACGGGAGTGATTGTAGTTGATTGCCCTACAATGGAAAGTAAGCCAGGGGGAGTTAGTTGCATCTCGTATGGAGTTATGCATATATAACATATGTGAGGTACTTGCTTGCATTCCTTGGGTGTGTTTGGTTGAGGATTATGTTTTATTTAATTTGATTCGATGTTTTTATTTAATTGAATTTGAAAGGCTAGAGATATATGAATATTTATCATTAATATGAATTAATGAATGTGAATATTAAAGGATTGATGAGGTGTATTATTGGATTTTGTGAATGTGAAATGATGCTTTGTATGTGTTATGTGGTAATGTTTATGTGTAATTAATATGAAAAGTTAGAATGTTTACGTGTATTTAATATGAAAGCTTAGATACATCACTATGGATGATGTCTAACAATTCAGTAGCCCTTTCACTTTATTGTGTGAAAGGCGACTTGGTCATTTTGCCTAAAAGGCTTGACTCGCATACCTCAAATGACTGAAACTCAAAAGGGTCTAAAACTCCATCCTTTTGAAGTTTTACAGTGCAGGTCTGATTAACATGACCAATCTACAATGCCAGAGGTATGTTTGGGTTTGATCGCTATGTTTACTTTCTTTGTTTCCACATTTAGAATATCCTTATTGTTTAAATCGAGAACATATTGTAATAGCTTCTCTCTACTATTATACTTAGAAAATACACTATGAAAACATACATACTTATTAAATAAAAAGTAAATGGGCCCAAAAATTTTCTCTTTACTTAACATATAATTCTGTACAAGTACAAAATAGCATATACAAAAGCTTTGATAACGGTGGACAGTAATGCCATTTCTCTCTATTTCTCGACATCCATCCAACTGCTTCTCACCTATTTCTTGCAAAACATGGAAGAATAACAGGGTGAGCAAAAAATGCTCAGTAAGTAAATCCTCTACTCTTCTTCCCCGCAACTTCCTCTTTTGTTCTTTCCTTGCTCTATTCTTTTGTTCTTCCTTCTTTCGTTGTTCTTTCTCTTTTCTTTCACTGTTTCTAGTTCTCAATGTTCTTTCCTTTCTTTCTGATTCTCTCTGTTCTTTCTTTCTTTCTTATTCTCACTAACCATGATGGAAGTCATGGTAACATGCATGAATAAAATGCACATGCAGTAATGCATAAAAATGCATTTTCTTTTATTCTATCTATTTCTTATTTTGTTTCTTTCTCTTTTTCTATATTTCTTTCTTTCTAATTTTTCTATTCTTGCTTTCTTTCTTTTTCTTTTCTTCTCTTCTCTTCTTTTCTTTCTTTTCTTTTCTTTTCTTGTTTGCTCAATCTTTCTCATTCTTTCTTATTCTTATTCTTATTCTTTCTTTCTTATTCTTTCTTTTCTTTGCCGATCGGACTCGGTTGATGCATGGATTCGGAACCCTGGCCGTGTGAGTGAGTACAGTCCTCATCTACATGCACTCCTACGGACTGTACAAATTCTTTCTTCTTCTTAGGCCACTCAATTAAGATGGCGTGCATGTAGGAAACTCTTCTTGCTACAACCCTCATCTACATACACTCTTACGGGCCGTACAAATTCTTCTTCTTCTTATTCCACTCACTTAAGGCAGCCTGTATGTGGGAATTCTTCTTCTTGTCACTCACAGGTTTCCCATCGCAACAACCTATTCTTTTCTCTTCTTTAGCTCTTTTCTTTCTTTTTTTCTTTAGTGCTTTTCTTTCTTTCTCTTTATTCTTGAAATTCTTTATTCTTGCTTTAAATTCTTATGCATATGCAAATATATGCATGTGGATGGCTCATGCTTATAATTCTTTCTTAAGTGCAAACATGTAATGTAAATATGCAATGTTGCACAAAAATAAGTTTTCTCTACTCATGCATATGCTTCTCTTAGGCATTCCATCAAACATTAAGCATGCATACTGAAATTCTACTTTTGGTAAATTTCTACTTCTTTCTTAAACCATCCATTTTTTAAGCAAAAATCCTCTATATCAAGGTTAAACCTGGCCAGGAAAAACACTTCAAATATTCTACTCAAATTCTTTCTAAAACTCAACCAAACTTCGCTTGGTCACCATAATACCAACTCCACTTCTCATGGCTTAAATCTACTCATCAAAAGCCATCTACTCAACAATAGCATCATTCTCAACACTCAGTCTCAAACTTATAAGCATATACATGCATATCAAATCATTTGATTACTTAAATCTTAGCTTGGGTTGGATTTACTTACCTTGTGTTTGAGTGGTTCCACAAGAATCCCTCTATCTTTGGTAGACTTGTTCTTTCTCTCAAACCCTAAGCATAAACTTAATAAGAATTCAACACTTGCACAAATTAATCTCATATCTAAAGCAAGAATCCTTACCTTTTGATGCTTAGGATCAAATCCCTATCAAAATCCAACCAAAAGCCCTCAATTTCCTTTAGCAAATTGGATGAGGAGATGAGAGAAATGAAGAGTGGAAGTGGCGTGTGAGGTGTAGAGAATGGGAGGGTTTGTGTGACTTAACCCTTAATAGCTCATATAAATAAACATTCTTTCCCATTTTGCCCTTACACTTTCTTAAAAATTCCATCTTTGCCCTTTAACTCTTTACAAATACACCCCCATCTCCATTGCATACTCCATAAAATTTTCTTGCACTTCACTCTCCACTTTTCTTGCTAATTAGGGGGTAGAATGATCACTTTACCCCAATGGAAAATTTCTCTAGAAACTTCACAAGAAAATCAGCCGACTCTTCGCCCCAGCGAAGATTTCTCTTTGCCTTGGTGAAAAATTACAGAGAGTATGTCGCCACGGCGAAGCTTATTCTTTGCCCCGGCGAAGTCTGTAATTCTCTAATTTTGCCAAGTCTTTACCAAATTCAGGGCAACCACACCACAATATCACCAAACCAATTTAACTAAGGCCAACAAACAACATTTAAAGGCAAATAAACATGAGGAAGCTATGTACCTCAAAGTGGGCGTTACACATATAATCAATTTTGTAACCTTGCATTTCCACATAGAATACCATTCAAACTGAAGGACAACAATCCATTAAAAATCTCAAAACATGATCCCATATCATCCAAAGCGGATAATGATATAATGTTTCTTGAAATGGAGGGTACAAAATAACAATTATTGGGTTATAACAATAAGCCCGTAGGCAAAGACAAACAATAAGATCCTACAACCAATGCAACCATGTGTGCTCCATTTCCAACTCGTAGGTCCATCTCTCTCTTGGCGAGCAATCTACTCTACCTTGGTCCTTGCACATCAGTACAAATGTGAGTACGACATTCTTTGTCAATAACCCAAATGTTGAAGGGAAGAAGTTAATCTCAATCATATACAAACCTGAAGTCGAAGCATTTGACTTCTTCTTACTTGCGAGGAAAGCCTTATAATGTTTCCTCTAATGGCCAAGCTTGTTACATTAGAAGTAGACTATCTTCCCACCTTTACTAGTGCCACCCTTGGGCTTGAGAGCATCCTGTCCATTGGGTTTGGACTTGAGATATACCTTGGCCTTTCCCTAACTTACCCTTGCCTTTACTAATAACAACTAGTAAAACAAGTTTGGACTTTTTCAGTCCTACTCCACAGTCCTCAACATGTTTAGAAGCTCTGGCATGGACTTCACCATCGTGTTTGTATTAAAGTTCATTATGAACGGTGAATAAGAACTTGGTAGCAACTGTATAATTAAATCCACTTGTAAATTTGCATCCACACCAAAACCCAAAGTCTCAAGCCTCTCTATGTACCCAATGATCTTAAGCACATCAAGACCAACTTAGGCTCCCTCGGCCATTCAGCTCCTAAATAATGCCTTTGGCACCTCATACATCTTACGTCGAGCATTCTTTTGATATAACTCCTTGAGGTGTAGAATTATGGCATGTGCATCCATATTCTCATACAACTTTTGCAGCTCAAATGTCATCAATGCTAGCATAATGCATTGGACATTATCAACATCATCAAAGAACTTTTGATATGTGTCCTTGACCTCCTGAGTGGCATTAGGTGTTGGCTCAGCTGGATAAGGCTTATATAGGACATAAAATTTCCTTTCAGACTTTAATACATTCTAAAGATTTTGATACCAGTCCAAGAAATTGGATCCATCTAGCCTGTTTTCTTTTCGATTATCAGTCGTAGTGATAGGTTGGTATTATTGTGCAATGAAAACATAAACTCTAACGCTAGCTATTGAATATAATAATAACAACTAGTAAAGCAGAAATAAATGGCCAAAATAAATACAAATATAAAGAATACTAGGAATTAATGAGGCTCGGTATTGTAATCTATTTCCTTGGGCACTGCAAAAGAAATTCCACTATCTCCAAAGAAGAACATTACAAACATTTGGGCAATACAACAAGTACCCAAACTATATGGGCGCAGAAACAATTTACCCAAAACAAAGGGAAACTCTCAAATACAAACTCCCAAACATGTGGGCATCCAAAAATGGATTTGGATACTAAAAAAAAAGCCTAACATCCCTATATATAACTAACAAAAGCCTTAGCCTTTTGTTGACTAAGCAATGTGGGATATAAGCACAAATCACTATTTTAAGTGTTTGAGCCAATTTTACAACAATCTCCACCTTGGCAAAAAACACAATTCAACTCCACCTTGATGAGATTATCTTTCAAATAGTTTTCTATATTCTTCTGACAAATTTTGCAACACCTTCAAATGCGCCAAATGGCGCAATTAAACTTGTAGGATGTTGATCAAGCTCAAACAATGAGTGAACTTGACCCTTGTCACTACCTTAGTCAACATATTTGTAGAACTTATCTTCCGTTCCAATCTTCTGAAGAACCATCTCCCGTTTTCAATATAATCCTGCACAAAGTGAAACTGACCGTCGATGTGTTTCGAACATGCATGATAATCTTTGTTCTTGGCCAAATGAATAGCACTCTAGCTATCACAATACACATTAATGTGTTTCAAAACAATTCTCAAGTTATCAAGCAACCCTTGAAGCCAAATTCCCTTTTTTGCAACCTCTGAAATTACCATGTACTCTACTTCTATGGTTGACAG